GATATTCCTTGTTTTGTGATAACGTGAGTGTAGCCAGAGATGCTTGTGTTCCAAGAGATGGAAAGATGCTTCCAGTCAGAATACAAATAACAGAGGAAATGCAAAGGGAGCTGCAGATCTCAGTAAGGGATGGCAAATGGAAAGCAGAGGCAACAGCAGAGCTCTGCAGAGCCATTTCATTTTGAGATAGCTAGCAGAAAGCGTCAAAGATTACATGAAATCAACACCACAAACAGACTGCAAAGTTTTATTGCTATCTACCACCTAACTTTCAATTTCAAGTAGTTAATTGTTAGGGTCACATCAATCTCAAGTTGGTTCTTAATATACAATGTCATTTGCCTCTCCCTCAGATATATAGAACAACTGAGGTCTTTCTACTCCTAAGATGAAATGGGCTTTATTTTCAACAGCCTGAAAATTATTCTGAAACATTAGCCTATTAGTGAAAGCATAAAACATTTAAACTCTTAAGGTGTGAAACAGTTCTTCTTTAGATAACCACACAACAGGGTTATGTAAAATCTTACCTTTTCTTTACTTCAGCAGTTTTCATCTCATTAACTTCTGCCCAAGTGAACTGGTAACTAACAATAGTCTACTAGGCATGCTGGCCAAGGAGGCATAAAATGTTTTTCCATTTCCAAGAACAGTCTGTTCATTCCACCAACTTTTGCTGTTTTACAGCAAGCTCTATTCACCTTTAGGACTGAGACACCACCTCCTTCCAAAGGATAAACCCAACCTCAGTTCCTACCTCATTCGCCATCCCATCAATGACAAGTATATGGATTCACTGAAAGTGAAAAGGAAGTACAATGAAAATCAAATTAAGCAGATCTTACAAAAAATTGTAACATTTTTGTTAAATGAAGCACAATACCAAGGGAACAGCTGCCACCAAGTTCTCAGCCTTTAAGTTATCCCCATGACTAATGGCATGTCCCTCTGCTCACAACACAGCATGATTTAAGCTTCCCTGATAAACCATCACTAAGCCAAGGACCATTTATTTCAGTTCTTCAGCAGGTGCCTTCACACTTTTACATAACAATATTGAGAGCAGGGGACACACAGGCTTGATTCACAACAGGAAAAACACTGCCTATCAGATTGCTCTTCCATACATAGTCACTAGAGCTATCAGTAACTGGATGGCAGTAAATGAGAAATAGGTAGGACCTGATGACCCCCCATTAACCCCAAAATCCATTCCTCCCCTTTGAGCCACGGTCATTTCTGTGGCTATAAATTGCTAAACTAATCAAAATTACTTGAAGAAAAATCTGTTACGTTCAAGACTATGATCAGTTAATCCCCTCCCTACAAATCAGTCACAGCAAGCGTGTGAAAAACAAGTATCCTTCCTGAAGAAGCCTACACTGACCTAACTGACCAATGATAATAAATAAACGGGCAAGGAGCTTTTTTCCAGCTAATCTATGGTTACATTTATTGTCAGATCAAAAAGAAACTCCACTGAAAAAGATAATCAGCCATTTTCTTAACAGTAACGACTCATCAGGCACTTTCCTTCCATTCGATGTTTGAAAGTGTGTTTATATCTGCTGCTCCTGTATTTACATGACACTTGTTCTTCTATCATAGTGAAAAACTTCAATCCCTCCAGGCTACACAATCAATCCCCCACCCGCAAACATGGACCAAGTGTAAGATGACTAAATTTTCAAATTTCCAAATTACAACAGGTGCAAGAAACAAACAGCAGTTTCCATAACAAGTTAAGAAAAAGTAAGTTTTAGTGCAGCTAAATTTCTATTAAAAATAACACTATGTCAACAGAAGTCTTCATTTATTTCCAAGTGTTCAAATTGTTATTACACATATGCCATTTAACTATTTTTTATTTGAACATTGATGTAATTACAGTTGGAGGGCTCGTATTTCCAGGGGCCTCTTTGCAGTAGATACCAGCAGAGCAAAACAAGAAACATTCCACATGGTTAACAATATGACATTTGAGTTACCAGAATTACAATCATCGACTTTTTTGCTAAAAGATCACATAAGTAGTACGTAACCGGGGCATTTCCTTTAACAGAAATATCGAACTTAGTACTGCATTTGTTTAATTTCAATATGAACATCTCTACATGAGCAACATCGTACATGACAGTTTGATTTATCACACATATGGTACTTTGGCAGCTCTAACCGTGATGTGTTTTTCCTCCTAAGCTCCATAGTAGTTTAATTTATAAAACATATTGCTAATATGCCCTGCATAAACATCAAGAATCAAATGCATCTTTCTTTTGCCACTTCAATGGGAAAGGGAGCAGTGTTTTTATCTCGTATTACACAGCCTTTTCATGCATGCACAATTTTCTTCCATGGACACTTCTACATGTACCCTAACTATCATTTTGTCTGCAAGAAAATAATCTTTATTCAAAAAAATGTGGATTTTCTTCTCAAATTAGAAAGACGACAGCCATAGACAATTACATGACAAATCACTGCCAACTATTTGTTTCAAAATAACATTGAATGTGTCAAATTTTTATTAAGTAACAAGCATATCAGTCATCTGAGGTGCAATGAATTCCCTCACAATTCAACTCATCCCATCTTGAGCTCATTTGTGAAACTGACTGGTTTATTTAGTTACCTTTTTTGTAGGACATTCATGCAGATGTTAAGATTGGCTCAGGTAAAATATATGGTATTTTATCATTATTATAGGCAGAAATGTAAGTGGCAGATGGAAAACTATTTTTAAACACACAAGCTAAGTAAAATCAAACTGCCCCAAGTTTTATCAAGTAAAATGGGATAAACAGCTCCAGTAATTATCACCACAAATTCAGCAAGGGGGTTATCTGTAAGAGGAACTAATAGTTCTTGGTTAACAAGTACTAATTTCTTTGAACACCTCTACCATCAGTTTCCACAAAAGAACTAATCACTATATTAAAACTTTTTCACTTACTCCCCCCAAATTAATGAATTTAATTCTCCACCTTCCTGAACACAGTTATATTGTACTCTGATACACAACTGCCATCCAATGACCTACTACCACAGTAACCTAAGTGAGGACAATGTTCCCTCTAATATAATCATGCACTTTGAAGTAGCCACATGAAAGTTTTGAGGTAAAATGGGTGAAATCTGGTTGCAAAATTTCAGATTTAAAGGAAAAAAATCATATATACATACCACAAATAAAAAACACCTAGAACCTGTTGATAGTGATCTGAAGCAATTTATTTCATTCACTCATCTGTGAAATTTATCAGATATTTCATATTTATTCTATTTGGTCCAAATATCCCTACATGCCTTTAAGAGTCACGCAAAAAAGAATGTTGTGCCCAAAAATGCATTTGCTACCACAAAACATCTCTTCACCCTTTTATTCACCCTCAAGCAGTTCTTAAAAACTCAGATTTCCTGAGCTATACAAAAACAGATCTTAACTTTATTTGTAATATGTCAACAATGGGTAAGTTAAAAAGCAGGTGGAGGGATGACATAATATTTAGATCAAATAATACATATTTAATTTGATGAAGTCACCCTTCCTCACCCTTCAATACCTATTTGTATTGAATTATAAACCCTGCAGCACAGGAACAGTCTGTGTATGGCACTTCCATGCATGTCTGCAATATAAACAATTATACCAAGATATTCCAAAATTAAACAAATAGTAAGTCTTGTTTATCTATACAAAATTTAAAAAATACATTAAGTTTAACATCAAGTGGGAAAATTACAGCTGAACCGATTAAGTTGTACACTCACTACATAGTCTTGAAAAGTCAATTTTCACGAAGTTGTTTCATCTTCTTCCTTCAATTAACTGAAATAAGTCAGAAAATGAACTCTTCTCCAATTCCACTAATGCACATTCCTTCACTGTAGTTATTATGTGTCAGCTAACTTTGGTCTTTCACCGTTAACTTCCGTACTGCCGTGCCCCTTACCCCTCCAAGTTCTACTCAAACATCATATTCTCCCTTCTTCATTCCATTGTTCGTGACACCTACCAAGAAACCCTTCAACTGGGGCAGCATCTAGCCTAATAGAGCTTCCACTGGACAGAAGCTCCTCTTACCAGAACAGTACAATGGTTGACAAGCGAAGTTCGCTAGAGTCATGATCCACTATGTACCAGCGCTTCACTTAAGCCCTAAGTATCTTCTGTACAAGAGATAAAATAGCTGTGCACGTGTAAGCGACACAAAGCAAGCCAAGTTAAGTGGTTGGGGCAGGCAGTGTGGACAGGGCAGGAGCATGATAGCCAGGCATTTTGGCTGAAGCAATTTTAACCCTTTGACTTTTTAACCTGTGTTACAGCCTAGTTCAAGCATCGTTGTTTACACAATACTCTCAAACAAAAGCCCTACAAAGACAGGTTAACTGATTTTTTCTATAGAGTAACTAGTTAGTATGTGTTCAAGAATGAATTTAATGCAAAGCTTGAAAAGGGTACCTAACTAATAACCACATTTGGAGCTTTTAAATACTATCTTACTCTGAGGTATATGTCTATAACTGTAAAAGTTTATGCATCACATTCTAAAATCTAGGGTCCAAGAAAAAAGGCTAATTGTATTTTCTAAGCCAAGCAAGCTATAGAAAAATGGGAAGAAATAGCATGTGGCTTGTGTTCAAGTGTTATTGTTTAGCATAACACTTCATGCAAGTAATGCAAAAAAGTCTATATACTCAGTACTGTTTACATCTGAATAAATAGGGTAAATTAGCAAATACAGTGTTTAAAATTATCTACAAAAGTGTGTTTTACCAAGTATTCACTGTTTGTTTGTATCAAGTCTTAAAGCAGAAAGCTGTCAGGGCTATACGAAAGACTATGAAACGAAAGGAAAAAATTAAATGGAGACATTTTAAGAAACCTCCTCAGAAAACAAATTCATACTAACTGTTAACTAAACTGAAACTAAAACAAAGACTAAAGCTTTTAGGTGGCCTTATCAGCAAACACCTTCAATCAAAAGGCCATAAACAAGTACGCTTTACATATTATTTATTTTACACCATGAGGTGAAAGCAACACATTTCCTTTTAGTAAAGTATACACAAATAGCCTCACTCAGAATACACTTTTAATGCACATAAAAAAAGTATTCATCTTACAAATCGTTTTGCAATCCAAATATACAATAGCTTGGAAAACAATATTTTAGAAAACAAAAGCCAATGTAAAAAGACCGCTTAAAACAACTAAAATGATAAAAGTTTCTGTATGGCTCTGTCTTTACAGTTTTCTTACTGCATCATCAATATCAGAAATCTGTTCCTTCAGCTGGTTCCACTGTTCTGGATTTAAAGAAATACCTGAAATGCATTAAAAATAAACACTTAAGACAAAAAGAAAATTGTGGTGCGGTCTCTTGCATAATTACTATCAAGGCTAGTTCCATACACAAACTCTATGTCATAACTATTAATGCTTGAGCTACTTCAACAACCATCTCAGTTACAAAGTGAAACTACTCATTTGGAACACTTCAGTTAGACTTTAGCTTATCTCCGGACAAGTTTTAAATTACAAAGAAAATAAGTACAGTGTAGCAAATTCATTCACAAGTGTTAGGCTAAACACAGGAAGTGAAGCACAGCTCTGGCCTTGACAGAAGGCAGCACAAAAGCTCTGAGTGAGATTTTGGAAATCATTCGCATTCCTGTTGGCTCCTAAAAGCCATACCTCTGTGGACTGAACTTCTATGCACTTTTAAAGTACCGTAATTCTGGGGTTTTTTTCCTCCTGTTTCTTAAAGCACTGTAAATAACACATACTATAAATAACTTTTTGGAGAGACTTCTATTCCACTCCCTAGCGCTCACAAACCAACATGGAAGTTATTTTTTCACTTCAAGTTCACTACAGTTTCTAGTGACAGTCAATCAATAATGATTCAGTGCCCCACAACCCATCTCCTCAGTTCTAAATTCGTACTTCCTCAAGCTCGAGTCCAGGCACACATTTCCTTTGTGCTTTAGTCTCCTCCTCATTCTTCCCCTACTATCTCTACACCAACTCTATGCAAGTGGAGACTCACAGGCCTACCTCTCATACTCTCTCCACCCAGGCTCTTCTACTATTTACCCCCACTCTCCCCCCTCAGTGATCAGGCTTCTTTCATTGCTTTCTCCCTGTAGGTGGAGCAGGACCTGAAAACAGGTGAAACTTTGAAATCCATTTTTGGGGCTCATTGCCTTTTTTTCCTTCTACCATCACTGTCTTATCAGAGCACCACTGTAACTTTGAGCAGTGAGCAGTCTGCATGGAGCTACTCTAAGTTTTCCACCAGTCTTTAGAGGGCAGGCTTCTTTTGAAAAGAGTTAGGTCAGGTGTGCTAACCATTATTAGGGGACCAAACGTCATCAAGATGTCCCTGAACCACATACCAGATGAACTGTACGGAGTTCAGACCTGCTGCCTGAAACAATCTGACACAATAATTTAAACTGCTGGATTTTTTTTTCTGTTTTTTTATTAGACAATTTCAACTGCTTATACTGTTTTTAGGATAGCTAGATAAGCGGCTCATAAGTACATCAATGGAACATTTGACTAACATACTATATCAGATTATTACTCATTTTATCCTAATAAAATTCAGACCCTTTTGCCCCATTGATAAACATTGCTATCTACATCATGTAATTTTTGTCACTTGGCCTACCCATCAAATCTCATTGTAGTTTGCCACTCTAACTACATATGCTTTTGACTTCCACCTCAAAACACAGCAGGTTAAAGTCCTTAGAAGTTAATCTTTTTTGTTAAGTAGCAGCAACAAATCCAAACCAAGAAATTTTCCAGTACAATACCAGTACACCTGTTCATACAAACCTATTCTCAGTGGTTATTTAAGAAATGTTGAAAATGCTTCTCAAGCTTTCCAAATGTCTATTCACTGAGTTGCTCCTGGACACACCGGAAGAATGTAACAAACCCTATGTTGATTGTACATTAAATGTCTTCAATCTCCAGGGCAGAATGTTCCATACTTACCTCTTTCCTTGGCGCAATATGAAAACCAATTAAAAGTAGGCTTTTCTAACAGAAACAACATGACATTAAGCAAAGCACTACTACTGCAACTACCCTTGCACCCTCATCTTGCAGGTGGCAAAGTTCTGAAAATGGTTCAGTGAAGGCATGCCCTAAAAAGCATGTATGGGAGTGGCAATTAAAGGAACAATGGCTTATGCTGTGCTGCAGATTAGAAGCACAGTACTAAAACTTGAGCACTTGAGGTATTTTCACCTCAACTAAAATCTTGACATATTTTTTCCAAAATTAGTCACATTAAATGTTTTAATTATTTTAATCTAAAATTTGATAGAAATTGAAGGACAACATTGTTTTAAAAGAAATTAACATCTTATCACAAATGTGTAAATTAAATCTTTTCAGTGAATTTTGAAATAAGAAATCCAATTGTAATAGAAGAAAAAAATTGTGTTGATTAAGTTAAGGGGGGGGGATGGGGGATGTATGGCTATGTTTATAACTCCCATACCAAATTGGCTTGTATTTGATGCCTTGTTTTCCATAAATCATGGAGGAGCCATTTAGGAAAAGAGATTCAGGCCAACTTCACTTTTGTTTACAATCTACAGATAAAACTAATCATTTGTTAAAATAGAAATGAAAAAAAAAATTAAAATACTATACACCAAGTTCTCCAGCAAACTGCAGACAATGTTTTAATACAAAATAACATGAAGCAGAACAATACCTTTTCTGCCAGGCTTCATTTCACCTTCTTGATCCATCCAATATTCTCTAATATCAATTAAGACTTTCCCTTTAAAGTCACGAACACTGACATACCTCATTTTGCCAATCTGTCAAAACACATATAAGGGTCTTTTAGGTACTTTAGATATTACAGCATTCACTTTTCCCAGCAGTATCAGACTCAGACATGTGACATTGCACACTGCAGCTTATTTTAGACACCACAGAAACAACTAGATCAAAAGCTTAATCCAGAGTAGTCAGTAGGCTAATAAATAATGACAATATAAATGGATGAACGACTTAGAACAAGTTGAGCATTCAATGCTTAATGCAAAAGTAGCTCTCCTAGAATAAAAATACCTATATTCTTAACGCACTTACTTCTTACAAAAGCCACTAATTTACTGTTTTCCGAAACAAAATTTTGCCTCTATTATAACCATCTTTGTTTGCAGCAGTTGTAAACAAACAGGGAAAGAGGGAGCTCTACTCCCAAATCTAAATTTTAGTCCATTCCACAGGTACAAAAGCAAATTAGATATTCACATGAGATAAACACAATTTCTAGAGGGATTTTTGTTTGTTTTTTCTTTTTTTAAACACAGTAAATATAGATGAAAATGAAAGGTAGCCACCAACTGTCCCATGCCCACTCCCAAGTCCTCATGGCACTTCATTGGAACTGTGGTTAAAAGACTATCCCACTGTACCAGGTGTTCAAAAAAAAAAAGTTTACCAGCATGTAGCATAGTATGAAATGACTTTGGAATTCCATAATTTCAGTGCCACAGTGGCTTAACTGTATTATGAGGGTGCTTTTTTTTTTTTTGGGGGGGGGGGCCCCCTTGAGAAGGGGAGCAGTCATACTGACAACTATGCGTTACACTACATATTTAGGCTCATTAAAGGTCTTTCCAAGTTTGATAAAAAACTATTTGTTCACATAAATTCAAAGTATAATGTGAATTTGAGAATCAGAAATTAGATAATAAAAACACAATCAAATACAATTCATGTAAGAAATTCTTAGAATTCTGTATGCACCTTCTGGATATACTTTAGGAAGAAAGAACACATTCTAAAGAAAATAATTTTAAAATAGAATATTCCTTCCTGATAAAATGTTAACTTTAGTTTTCAACTTCCTTAGTTTATGCATCTTGCATTTTGATACAATTTAACAAGGGCCCAAACACATCTTACTAGCATTAAGTCTGACCAGAAAGGTTGAACAACTCTCCAATCAACTAAAATAATCTGCAGATGTTTAAGTCATAAGCTGTTATTTCACAAAATAGATATAAACAAGAATGCTTTATGTTTGCTTAAAGTAATTTTTGTTCTTATGCAGATCATGCTAAATTAACTCTAAAATTGATTTTAAAACAATTAGGACATCTTTAGATACCGTAAGCCTGAAGCAGTTTTCCTACTTCAAAGCATCCTTTAAAATGAAGACATTACAGTTTATAAGATAGTATTTTTTGATTGATTTATTAAATACTTTCACAGTACTACAAATTTAACATTCAAAAATAAGGTATGATGTCATGGTAGCTTAGTTCTTTCAGACCAAACTTGGTACCATGCCCAAGTCCGTCAGCACCGCTGGCAAAGAATATCCCAAATAGCCTACATGAACAACATTCCTTGGTTTCACCCTTTAACACTTCAGTGACTTTTAAGGTCACCTCTAAGAACAGCTTCAAGTAGTAGTACTCCACACCACCTTTTTTTTCCAGGGCTATCAAAGAATATTAGTGCATTGCCAAGTAACTCCAGATTTGTTCTAAGAAATAAAATCTGATACAATATAGCAGATTGCAGCTGCAAATACAGTAAAAGTGTTTAGGATTTGAATTTTAAGGATAAGATTATATGTCTTAATTCAACTACAGTAAGGCAAGGGGCAATAATGCAAAGTCCACATTTACTTAATCAGTAAGTCTACCTTAAATGGAAACAGTTCCATATGAAAATGCTGAAATTAAGTTAGGTTTTACATCACTGTCTAGATTTCAGCTGCATGTTCACATTAAATTTTGAACATTTAGCTGAACTCTATGCAAAAGCTGCCACTGCTAAAAGCTTTAAATAGGCTTCTAAAGTACAGTTTCAACTAACATCTAAGGTTAAAAACCTCAACCAAAATCTAGACTTAAGTAAATTGATGCTTCTTGATGTTCAGTTACCTGCAATTCTGGCACAGATTTGTTTCTGAACAATTTTTTTTTTCACACGGCAGCTGATAGTCCTAGAATAATTTCACCGATCTAAGACATCTTTGTATCTCTAAAACCACAGTAGTGTTCCAAGGGTTGTATTGATTTACAGCAGTGTAGTTACTGCAGTTCAACCTTCGCAGACAAGTTCATATGCTTTTTATTAAATATTACAGCTCCTTAGATTATACTACTCTATTGAATTACATAAATCAGAAGACATGAAAAGCATTATTTCCAGGTTTCCATTTCTGACACACTGAACCGTGCCTCAGTTCCTTTCACAGCTATGCAACTGACTTCCTGTATGAGTTTCAGCAACCACCTTCTTCACCATTTTTCCTCCTATTTCCAGTTTGTCTTGATTAAACTGTATACACACTGTGGAAGTAGAAACAGCAAAAAAGCATCCTTCTTTCTTAGCTGATAACTGTATGTATAGCATTAGAAGGAGCACAATAAGGAGTCCTGTAAACAGTGAGATCTGCAACACAGCAAACTGATTGTGAAATGCATTGGTGACCACCTAAGTTTCAGAATTAATGTGCTAAACAAATCACCTTTCCAGAGCATCATAAACTTACGTATTTATCTACTTTCAGGAGCCTATGATAGATAAAGACATTACACTGGGAAACCAAAGAACTTTTCTCACAAGTCAAAAAGCAAGTACAACCCAAACTTTAAAAAAAAAAAAAAGAAAATAATAAGAAGGCGGGGGGGACACAACAACACACAGACGAACAACTTTTGAAGTAAGAATTTCAGTGAAATGCCTGATCATGCGATGTGGATCCACTCTGGCAGTCATTAATACTGCATCCTGACAGCATTAACAAACCTTATCCAAATCAGGCATAGGTAGATGACAGGATTTGTCAAACTAACCAAAGCACATGATGCAGAGCTCACGTTGGCTTGAATCCACAGACAGGAATCTAATGTATCAAGACTAAACCTTTCCACATTAACATGAATAATGCTTGTCCTTAGGGCCGCTAGTAATACATCACAAATGGGAGTAAGATAAATTTCCACACCCCAACTGCACCCAAATCTTTCAACAAATTCCAAAGTAGGCTACCTATAAAACCTAAAAAGGCCAAGACATGTAAATAAATAAAATACACTTGGTCTCTTACACTGCATTAATTCCCTTCTACTTACATTCATACTATTCTTCATGATTAGTTTCAAGAATACCATTACACCAACATTAGTCTCAAACAAAAATGATAAAATGTAGATTTTTATGAAAATGCTGAACCTTCTGAATAAAGCAGTCACAATGAGCTCTATACTAAGAGAAGCTGTATACTTTAAGAACACAGCCTGAGGGCATAGAACAACAAGCCTCCAAGTTTCACATCATTTGCTGCCACTCCCACACACAATATGGACACCACAGAACTTCTGACTATCCTATGAATGCTTTACAGCCTGGTCTCCATCAATTGAAGCCACACTTGTAAGTTATACTGCAAAGTCACGTGCACATCAGAGATCATTTTACTGCCATGGGAAAGGAGAAAGGAGAGTTTCTAGTATTACTAATAGTCCTAGAACAAACAAAACCATACCTAAAAAATTAACAGGCAACTAGATCTTCTAGCATGCTCTCCCGGTTAGGGGGGGAGAGGGGAAGTATCCTCAGACCTACAGTGCTGCTTCTACACTGAAACAGTTGCATCTTAGTTAACGCACATAAGCTGATGTAGCATGAAAAAAACTCACAATGCTTCACATAACACAATAAGCGTTCTAAAAAAATTTTCTTGTTGATTAACTAAAAGGCAGGCAGAGACTAAGTAACAGTGATGTTTTAGGTCAAGGTGATATTCAAGTATTTTTTCTGTATTATACTCAACACTGGAAGAATCCTGTTCTTATCAGACTAATAGGAGTCCTCTACTGTCTGTTTTTAGTAACTTTTTATTATCTTAGGTCAAAAAGGTTGAAAGAAATCAGAGCATGCAAATACTTTTGCTTTTATTTGAAAGGGTTTGGGGTTTTTTGCATCAGGGGAGCATTAAAAATTTTAATAGCTTTCTCCAAGGCTGGAATTTCTGAACTTATTACAAACATAGCATAAAGCTTGTACATAGTTTTTTTAAGTTCTAACTGCAGTTCACCTCATAAGGTGTAGAAGACACTATCTCATTTTTCCTACATGGTTCAAAGCATACCCCAGCAGAACTAGAAATATATTCTTCCTTCAATGGGGAAGTCCAGGCACTGCCTTCAACTGAAGCTCTCCCTCCCAACTATACATGAAGAGAAAAGTGAGAATTGATACATTAAAAATAACTACCCTGTATTACAGTACCAGTTAATCAGGTCTTCTCTCTAGAAAAGATTTTTTTTTTTCCGTATTACTTTGCATAGCTACAGCCCAAAACCATTTATTTTACCCTACTCGGTGTTATGGCCATCTTATTAGGCACCTCTCCCATACCCTTTCACAAACTTAGGAATCAAAGTCCGTAAGAATTTAAGTTCCTTTCCAGCCAGCTAGTCAGAGACATTTAATAAGTCTTGATCCACACCCCTAAAACAAGTAACTCTGAGCTACATATATTCTCACACAGCTTTCAGCACACGCTGCTACTGCCTCAGCTAACCCCAGGAACTGCAATACCCTGAATTCACAAATGCATCTTGCTACTGAAAAACGTACATTCATCCCATCTTAAAAACAAGGACAATATCAAAAATTAAAATCTTTCTGTATGTTCAGTGAGAAAAACCTGCATCATAAAACAAAGGAACAAGCAAAACTTACTCCAAGACACTGTCTTATAATACAGGAGCCAAGTTGCCCTTGACCTAGTTAAATAGGAATGAACAGTCCATACTTTGGTTTCCAAGAACCTTTCTTTCAAGAGCCCCGATAAAAAAACATTTCCGTGTAGAGACAGTCCTGATCTAATATTTACAGCATACTCATGTTAAGTGCTGTATTTACCAACAAAATGACTTCCCAGAGTTACCAGGGGCAAAGACATGAGGGTTAGATCAATTGCTACAACTCAGATTCTTTTACTCTGCTGAAACATGACAATGCTTTTTCTGAGCATCTCATCTGCATGCTAGCATCCTAATCCCCTTTGGCCAAGGCTTCAGGAAACCAAGCATCTGTCAAGATATTCAGATCACCACATAAAATTTGTACTGAATATGATGTAACATGCTACCTTAAGCAGGCCCTAAGAGTCATCAATTTTACCTGAAACATATTCTCATCTCTGTTACTGCTTTGCTTAGAAGAAGCTGCACCTTTTGAACTTTCACCAGTCTTCTGTTTCTTTACAGGCTTTTCCGGAGCTGCTTGCTTTTTCCGCTTTGCCTTGGAGCAAGAAAAAAAAAGAGAAAAGCATGAACCACAACTCATTCTGTAAGTTACAGAAAAGTTTATGTCAGAGGTCACAAACTACCTCTGTGCAATGCACATTATCACCTTCCTGCTGTGAAGGCAGGAATCCAATACCGTACATTTGCACTGCAACTTAAAAAAAATAATCTTCAAATGAGCCTAATTCTGTTCCCAGTGAAGTTGACTGTAATACTTTGACTTTAAAGAGAATTTAATTAGATCAAAATACATTTCAAAAATCCTACTCTTTCTGCGCAGTAATACTGTCGGTTCAGTAGTTTTAACAAAAAATTTAAAGTCTGATGGAAGTTTCACCTTCCTTTACACTGAGTGCAACAAAAAATGCAGGACAGCTTAAAACTGTTTTAAAAAAGAAAAAAAACTAGATGAGATAATGAAGAAAGGATCTGGAAATCACCTCCATCAGAGTAATTTTTTTTAAATCAGTATCCAGTCTCTGTCCACAGCAGATAAATTAAACATGTTTTTAAAATGTTCAGACACTATCACCTGTAAATCAGATTACCTGCAGATGCCACAAAGTTGTTATTTCTACTAATGGTTATATAGTAACCATGCCCACCCCAAAAAAAGAGTAATACAAAGATACCAAAAATTAGTCTCACCCACTAGAATCATATTGTGGATAACCTCTTTTAAAGACAAACAGTTCCAACAAATATGGGAGGTTATAATAGGAAAAAAAAAAAAACAACCCACACCTTACTGCCCACTAAAGCAGACTGTTAGACTATGTCTTTTCAGGAATACAGTTCCCTATCAAAAAAAATCACCTGACCATTTTCTCTTATTTTAAGATCTGACAGAACGCCTAATTTGCAAAGTGCAACAAAGTCATGTTTGAACCAATTCAGTAAAGCAGACTGAGTCTCTTCACATACTACATTAAAAGACCTCATGTCTGCGTTACCACCTAGCATTTCTTAAAAAGATAAATTCACTGGTTTTTTTCTGGTTTTGTTCATAATGACTGGTACATCTATAGAAACTTATAAATTAACTAACTATTAAAAATAAATGGGAACACTCAATTTATACATTTAGAACAGTCAACATATGTTAGTTAATCAACTCAAAGACATTCAGGTTGGCTCAGCTTTTAAGTGAGAAACCAGCAGATGGTATTACAGTAAACGCAAGAATCTGAGACAGAGAAAAAGAACATGCAAACAAGACAAGCAAGTGGCACATGGAGGACAGGGCAAGTGGAGGTTTTTGTTTTGGACAAGTAATCTAGACACCAAAATGCTGGGGGCGGGGAGGGGCTGTTTGTCCTCAAATTTAGTCCAAATTCTTGCCACCAGTGGCAGCTTATACAGAAGCCTTCTATCACTTGCCACAAAGCAGCAACAAATTCCAGGAAGCTTGTGGTTAGATATATCATATGGAAAACCCGGAAGAGAGCAAAATGCAACTTAAGAAAAAAGGTTACTGCAAGGCAAAAAGCATCCTATTCACCCAAACCCTAATCTTAGGGGGTGTTTTTTCTGTTGTTGTTGTAGTTGTTGGGGGGTGGGGCTGGGAGAGGGGGGTGTTTTGGGTTAAGTGTCTAATAAATCATATGGAATGACATGCATGTTGTGACATAATGCTCGCCTAATTTCTTAACCCCACCCTGAAATATAAGAGTTAATACAGTAGTAATAAACTGCATATAATGTTCACCTTTTTGTCAACTTCACTATCTGAATCACTGGCAGATGAGCTTGAAGACACAAGTTCCTTTGACTTAGGCATTCTAGGAAGAGAAAAATAATGTGAGAACATTATACAAGGAATACATCCCATTACAGCTGGAAAGCCATCTTCAAACCTGTTTGTAAAGGCTCATCTTATTCAAAACCCTGCTAAAGACTTTCCTGCCTTTTCATATAAGCTTTAATACATTTTGTAGATGCGATCACAAACACTTTTCCCTCTTGTACCTCTCCTCCTTTTTGCTGCAACTGCATTAAATGCAGTGTTTCAGTTTCTGAACTGCTTACAAAGGGACAATTTTTCACCAGTTTCATATACCCCTAGATATGGCAGAAACCATAATGTAAAAAATACAATACAATACTGTCCTCCAGTGAATTCTTTATATTACATTCACAGATATAAACTATTAAGGCCCTAGCACCATCTATACTCTTACATGAGCATTTCACCCAGTTGGATTTGTAAGTAACACACTGCATAATCGTCATACATAAAGCTAAAGTTCCCACCAATAATACAAAAGTCTGAAAAACACCTCAGTTACAGTGAACTACAGTATTGCAATTAATACTTTCACTGCAGCTTCAACATATCAGTCACTAGAGTCTATTCATTTGCCAGACAAGCGGACATTCAACTTTCCTTGAATGCATGCTGCCAGGTGTGCTTCTACATCTCTCTAGTATGCAAACATGTGGTTAGATATGGCAGTTGCACATCTTGCCTGCTACTAGAAACTCTTTGTAACAAATAAATAGCTCATTTGTTCTTTCAGAATAACAATAAGCATCCCAGAGAGAAACTGTATAAAATAAACTACAGCTAGGAAAGGCTAAAAAAAGCTTAAAGAAGCATATCTCGGGAAAGAAAAAGGAACAGCAGCGTTTGTAAACTGGCAGTGAAAAAAACATATGCAAATGAAAAAACGGAGTCTGAATAATGCCAACGGATCAACGTGGTTCTAAAGTAGGGTAGAATACTGTCGTAATAGCTTGGAGCACAACGATGGAAGCTGTAGAACTGAAAATGAAACAGGGTATGGGGAAGCACACATAAGCCACGCTGCGGGATGGAGGCAGAGGAGAGCTGGAACGGGACAATATAAAAATAAGCACCGCGATGACATGAAATCGGGGAGCCGAACAAGAAAAGACTGATACGCAGGGGGCGCGAGCACCAGCAGGGGATAACCCCAGGGTCCGCATCACGATGAGGGAGTGCCAATATGGAGGAAGGTGGGGGCGGAAACTGGAGGAAAAAGAAACGGGGGGTCGTAGGTGCCCCTCGGGAGAGGCTGGCAGGCAGAGCGTGAGGAGACACCGAAGCACCGGTGAGAGCGAGGGCGGAACGAGGCGGGCCAAGCGAGGACGAGGGAAAGACAAGCCAGGACGAGCTAAAAACACCAGGTAGGCGGATCCCAGCCGCCATTTTCCTCCCCTATTCCTCTTTTCCACGGCTCGTGTTGCCCCCCAGGGGAAAGGGGCGACGGCCCGAATAGGGGGGCGCGGGCAAGGACGCCCAGGTCCTCCCGGGGCGGCGTGGCAGCAAGCAGGCTGCAGGTCACCGGCGGCGGAAGAGAGAAAAGACAGCGCAAAAAAAAAAGGGTCGGGGGTCGTCAGCGGGCAGGGTCAGATCCCGGCGTGGGGGGAACGGAGCCGGGCGGTTCCCCGCCGCCATTTTCTCCCTCACTCAAATCCTCTTTGCCCCCCCAACATGGCAGCTTCTCCTCGACAGCGGCTCCTCCTCCCGCCCCAGGCCCGCTCCACAGCGGGGCATCCCTCCCGCAGGGCACAGCGGGCACTCGAGGAAAAGGGAAAGCGTCGCCGATGCCCAGCCCAGCGCGCCTCCCCCGCCCCCCGCG